CCTATGCTCTCACCACATGTCACACGGAGTCCAACGCCCTACCAATCGAGCTACCGGGACGGACATTTACCTTGGGGTTTCGCCTTGTGTTATTGACAGACGTCAGACACTTTAGCCGAACTCTAGCCGAAACACTGAGCAAGCTGCGCAGGGCGATAGGTGCTCGTAGCGTTGAGGTTGGGTAACCTGTGAGCTGAATGCGATGTCGTGAGTTCGAGCCCCACTCCCGGGTCTGGTTTTATCTGGACACAAACCAATACCTATCCTTCTACATACTGCAACACAGATAAGCACGATGACATCTTTCCCCAATATCTTTCCCATCCTCTCAAAAGTCAAAAATTATCGCTTATAAATGTTCAGTGAAGTTTCAATTTTAAGAAAATATTTTTGGACATTTTTCTGGAGCCAGTTCAAATCTTTTTTTTTCTTTTCTGATTCTTTTCGGCCCGATAAAACCCACTAAAACTGAACGTGCCAAATGAAAAATATCTAATTCAAATAACAGTATAGAAAAGCCTCATCATGCATCATGAAAAGCATCATGCAACTATCGACTGAATAGTTGCATGCTATGAATACGTCCTAGATTTCGATTACCTATCATTGTTCAACATTTTGGCTGGAACTGACGCTGCCTCTGGCTTGCCCGTTTGTTTGAGATAATGATTCCCTTCAGTCGCATTCTTGCTGGTTCCACATGAACAGGATACCACCATACCGGAGTGAACGCACCCGCAACCATCATCCCCTCCCCTCACACTCAGCCTCGGCGCAGTGGCGGGCGGCCCTGGGCGGCCCACTCCCGGCGCTACGCACGGGGCGTGCGTAGCGCCGGGAGTGCGCCGTGATACCGCATCACTCCCCCTCCCTCCTTCCCCCACAATGACCGGTGACCTCACTTCCCTCGGGATTTGGACTCGCCCTACCCCGACCGTATAGCGCCACGTGGTGGCTCTGGAGATCTTAAATAGACCCACTGTACGTGCGTAATCTTCCTCGTCATGGAAAATACGCTCGATTTTTCGACAGGCGCTCTAGCATGATCTTAGGGCCCGAATGGCTGGGGAGGGCTCCGATCGAACCGATCATCTGCTATAGGTCGTTAGTGGCGTTAAACATCAATACCTGTACCTATCTTCCTACCGACGAGGGTTAAACTGCGTCCCGTTGGTGCCGAAACGGCTCCTCCCCTTTTCAGCCGCGGTCTACAAAAGTATAGCAGATATAGTCACAAAACTTTCAGGACCCGTATGGGCATCAATTTCACACCTTGTGACCAAAATGCTTTTTCAGAGCCCTGGATAAGTTCGCCACAAATGACGTCAGAACGACGTCATGTTCTGCCGTTTTCGACCCAAAAAAGGTTTTGCAGGAAGAGCTATCCGCCTACAGTTTTGAAGGTAGAAAAAAACGTTCACTATCAACAAGGTGTAGAATAAAGAGGACTATAAAATTGGCATTTTTATTTGCCAAAAATTAAAAAAAAATGATTTGTTGGATATCATACCCTCAAACTACCATAAATTTCAAACGTTTGATGAACGGAATACATGTTATAGTTCAATTGGTTAGCCTTCGACATGCCAAAGTTCAGCTCGATAGCTCCATTTTTAGCAAAGTTATGGCGAAAAAAAAAACACTCGAAATTAATGACGTAAAATTTTGCAACTGAATTTTTAACTGTTATAGATCTAATAGAGTAAAACGAAGACCACCATTGGATTTCCCGTGATGAGTTGCATCGAACAGATACCTTTTTTTTAAGAAAAATATGTTTCAACTTTTAAATTTGACCTTTTTCACCTGACCTTGACCTGACCTCCAGCAGAACGTAACCTAAACCGACCTCAATGGCTGTCTAACGCACACTACTTAATTGGACATGTAAAATTGGCCAGAGAACATGTATTACCAACATGATCCTAATATATTTGGGTTCATATCGTGACCCATGGTGACCTAACCCCTGTGACCGGACCTGTTAGGTATCATTGACTTCTTTTTAACCCTCGCCGGCACAGGCCATTTTGCGTCCTTCGACGGCACAAGGGGGGGGGGGGGTACGACCCCCCTCGCGTTTGGCCCCTGATCGAGCTAGAGCTTCGCGGAAAAAAACGAACGTGTTGCGCGTCACGAGAGGAAGCCGATGTTACCCAATTTTAAGGTCCTAGGTCATCGGGTGACCTTCCAGGTCAGGTCAATGACCCGAAAACCGGGAAAATCGGTACCTGTTAGAAAGTCGTAAAGTGTGGCTGCTATGTGGTTTTCCGGGGTGCTGATCACGAATATCGTGTTAGTTTTGATCAGAGATGACGTTTTTAAGCATTTAGACCAGGTCGGGTCAGGTCAGGTCAGGTCAACCGGTAGGGGTTGTGACGGGTATTCGTAATACGTGTCAACCGCCTCTGACAGCTTCGTAACATGTTACGAAGGCACCAAAACTACTTCGTAAATGTTCAAATGGTTGCTAAATTCGAATTCAGCTCCAAAAAACTAGCCTAGAAACATGTAAAACTCGAAAAAGTGAACCGAGGTCACCCGAGGTCACCAAAGGTCAATGACCTGACCTGACCTTGAGGTGATCTTGACACCCACCCTAATGTATGGGAGCAACATCAAATCACATGTTTGAACGTTTGAAACCACGAAAAGCTTGCAAACGCGAGGCTAATGCGAGCCGACATACGCCGAATCGCGATTCCGGCCAAACATGGTCTCGGAAAAGAGGTCACAGGTCAAAGGTCATTTGGGTCAGGGTCATGAAATTTTCAGGGTAGGTGTGAAATTGATCAATGCGAAGGTACTGAAAGTTTCGTCGCGATCGGCCGCTATTTACGCGAGTTATTTGCGAAAAACCTTAGGGGGGGTTGCATCTACCCCCCCGTGCCGGCGAGGGTTAAGCAACATATTTATTAGGCAACCAACATTTTATCGATGATTTTCTATTTTGTATGACCATGATTGGGTGTAAGAACCCGGTCCGGAAAAAAAGTATTTATGAAACTCAGCAAAACATTTATATGAATATATAGGTGCGACAATTTTGATTTTGAGGATATCGGGGAAAGAAAAACCACCATCATGTCAGTGTTGCAGTAGAAAGAAAGGTTTTGGTTAGTGTCTAGAACACTAGATAAAACCGGAGCCCACGGCATCGCACTTTTTTTAGGAACGTTTTTATTGTTTTTTTTTTTAACTAATTTTAGCTTAAAGTTTTTTATTCGGTACACATATACCGAGCCCCCAAACGCTACGAGCACCTGTCACCCTGCGCTCCCGCGCAGCTTGCTGGATAGTGTTTCGGCCAAAGTTGCTCAGGATGTCTGACGTCTGTCAATGTCACGAGACCAAGCACGAAGGTAAATGAGGGAGCCGAATCAGGCTGGACGGGGTTGAACCAGGCTTGACCGGGGTCTTATGGTCATACAAAATAATACCTAATTAGTTTTGGGTCATATATTTTTTAGGAACGTTTTTATTGTTGTTTTTTTTAAACTAATTTTAGCTTAAAGTTTTTTATTCGAAACTTTATACACAAAAATGCGATACTCCTCATCCTCTTTTAGCGACCAAATTTGACCTTAGTTCGATGTGGTCTTACAAAAAAAAAGAATCGCCGACCCTGACAATTATTCGCCTAAAGGCGCTCTACGCAAGAAACACAAGCCAGTTCAAAGCTGGCGAACGATCTTTCTGGCGCTGGGATTATCTTCAATGAAAATTTCAGGATATATCAATAATCTTAACCCAGCAGGCGATGGGCCTCCCGGCTGCATCTTCCGCGCAGTGGGAGCATAGGCGGCGGAACGGGGAGGGCACCGGGGCACCGTGCCCCCCTTTGATTTTGACATTTTAACATTAGCCCTATGTGCGTTGCATAGAAAGAATGGGACCAAAAGTCGGCAGTGCCCCCCTTAATCGAAGGTATTCCGCCGCTACTGAGCGGGAGAGGGGGGGCATTTTTTGCCCCCCCCCCTCGTATCTCCGAAAGCACTGGACGGATCCGTGAAATTCAAACGGCGTTCGCTAGCCCTCCCTGTCAAATTTGTTGAGGAAATTCCAATTTCATTGAACTCATGGTCACCGATGACGTCACAGGTCCGGTTTAAGATAAAATGTTTCACCGTTCGCAGGTCTTCTATGGAATGCGCTATAACATCGAGTAACTAAAACGCATTTTGTCGAAAATCAGCGACAGCCGACAGGGCGTCAGTTGCCTAGCACACAAGCTGCTATCAGATTAGAGGTCACTGATAATACCAGGTCAGGTCACAGGTCAGGTCACCAAGGGTCAGCACATATACCCAACTTTACTATAGGGATGTGCGATGCATGTTTTATGGCTAATTTTTCATTTCCAACTCACTCAATGATGTTGGTTATAAGACCATCATGTGCGGTTTAGGTCACTTTTCGGCCTACGACAGACGGTCCGAGAACGAACGTTCTGCTGATGCACTTGAAACGGGGACCGTCAAAAACAGGCGTAGGTACTATTATAACCGCGTTACCGCTTATCATGAATGTTGCACCGGTCTTCTGTTCCCTTTTCAACATCAGCAAAAAAATTTGGGGGCAAAAACATAGCCTTGCCCCCACCCCACGGCCTCCTGCCAGTGGAGGCAGTCTGCCCCCACTGCCCCCACGGTGGCGCCACCCTTGATATAAAATGGCAATAGTGTTTAGCAAGTCCTATAGGCAAACTTCTAAGCTTCTAAGCCTAGTTACGTGACGGTGATGACCAATTCACAGGTCCATTACAAATTGATCTTAGGTCGAAATCACCTCATGACCCCTGTACTTTATTCTTTCAATGCTTTAGTCTTCATTCTTTATATCACAAAGCACGAACGAATTCATAACCTTTGCAGCTCCCAACTTGCAGTCTCTGTGAGAACAAGTTGTTTCTTTTGATGTTATTTCTTGCTGTGTTTTAGTGGCTTATTTTGAGACATTTGTTTGCTTTAGTGCGCCACTTTCTGGCTAACGAACATTTCACTCGTAAACAAAGCGTAGCGTAGTGCAACGATTGGGCGTCAGCGTAAGAGCGTTTATAAGCGTTTAGTGGTAATGCATCAGGGTTGGGTGGTTCTTGCTGATTTTTATCTCCACATCTTTTGTGTTAAACCCAAGTTTCAAATTTAAATTTGTATGTTGCCCGTCCTTTTTCCAATTCCGACCCCAGTCTACTCTCTCTACTACAACGACTCCAACCGTCCAAAGTCAGTTTCTTTTTTGTTTCCAACTCGTCATTCCACAATCAGTTAAAACATTTCATTTGATTTTATAAGAGAACTGTGACATGGTTGGCCTGAATAGTGCTCAGGCTGTTGTCACTAACAGTAGCATAGCCGTAACACAATAATGTGTTGGGTGTTGGTAACCCCACTGTCCTACTCCTTGGTCAATGTGTTAACTGTGAAAAGTGCACCTTTTCTGAGGAAATCACTCAAATAAATATATTGTTTTGGACATAAATACTTTTTTTTAACTCCCGCAAGTTTCACACTATCGCTATGGTAGGTAGGTATGATGTCAGCCGAGAGCTAGTCTGTGTGTAATTTCTTGTAACGGCAACAAACGCCACCTGGTATTTATTGCTTTGATAGTGCTAATCATTGGATAGTAAGTGTTTGCTTTATTATTTTGATAAATATTGTTTTGTTTGGGGTGAGCGGCAAGCTGATCACATGGATCGGGGCTTTCCTGAGAGCCAGGAGACAGCAGGTAGTGATTAATGGTCAGTCATCTGACTGGTCGGAGGTGGTCAGCGGGGTACCCCAAGGCTCGGTCCTGGGTCCACTACTGTTCTTGATTTTCATTAATGACATGCCTGAGGTTGTTGGTTCCTCGTTGACGATGTTCGCGGACGACACGAAGCTGTACTCCACGGTAGCCTCTACTCTCGCTGCGTCTAGCCTCCAGTCTGACCTCAAGGCTCTGGTCAACTGGGCGGACGCCTGGCAACTCCCCTTCAATGAGGCGAAGTGTAAGGTCATGCACCTCGGACGAAACAACCCAGCAAAGCAGTATGTGATGAGAGACTCTGAGATGAGCGTCGTGCGGGTGGAGAAGGATCTGGGCGTGCAAGTCGATGACGAGCTGAAGTTCAGACAACATGCTTCAGCAGCCGTAGCCAAGGCCAACCAGATTCTCGCTGTGATTCGTCGCTCATTCGTGCTGATAAACGAGTGCACGCTGCCGCTGCTTTACAAGTCCCTGGTGCGCCCGCACCTCGAGTACGGCAACCTCGTGTGGGGCCCTTTCAACAGGGCGGACCAGAAGCTGGTGGAGAGGGTACAGCGCAGAGCTACGCGCATGGTGGCCAACCTTCGCCACCTGCCCTACCAAGAGAGGCTCAGGGCTCTGAAACTTCCATCGCTGTACTACCGACGCAAACGGGGCGACATGATATTCACCTACCAGATGTTCCATGGAGGGGTTGATGTTGAAGTCATGGATCTCTTCTGCCCCGCCACGGGTGCCGTTACACGAGGTCACCCACACAAGCTCCGCAAGCCAGAGGCGGTCAGCAGACTGAGGAGAGCTGCATTCGCAGTCAGGGCCGTGAACGACTGGAACGGCCTACCTGCTCAAGTGGTCAGTGCCCCCACCGTGGACTCGTTCAAGGCGAGACTCGATGCCCACTGGGGCCATAACTGGTATCATATACCAGACACGGATTAACAAATGGCAAAAGGGACAGGAGCTCGGTTAGAACGGGACCTCCAGGCCGAGTTGGCCTTTATTATGCCCGAACACCGTAAGGTAAGGTAAGGTGATGTAAAATTATGCATTCTGACTGCAAATTTTTCCAAATCAAAATTAACTAATTGTGAGACTGATTGTTGTGCCAGATCAGAGCAAACTGCAGGTCATGGCAGTTGAAGTTGCAATGACATCCTGTCCTTACCTTAGGTTCCGCTGGCTTACTGTACTGGTAAGTGTAGGGTGAAGGGTCCCGATCTGATGTCATCAAGTTCCTAAATTAAAGGACTTGTGAGTTGTGGATGTTTATATTGTATGGAGTAGGTACCTTTATGTTTGGTTTCAGCTTTCACTAGTCACTGGCCATCAAAGTGGGCCTCAATTGGAACTGGTTGAGAGAGGATGCAAGGATCATGGGGATGGAGGAAGTACATTTGTCATTCACAGCTCTTGCCACTAAAGCATGCATGCCTTAGTTCTGACTCCTGAATGCCTGATTGGGCTTGGGGTACTCATACTGGCACCCGGCCATTTTCTGCTGTGTAGTGGTGTATGCCGGTGTTGCAATGCAGTGCAAATTCTGCAGTCTGGCTTTGCAGTGAGCAGTGCAGTTTTTATGCAATGCTAGGCTGATCTGCTCACTGTGCCTGTGCCAATGCATCATTTTAAAAGATGATGTACTGGAGATGCAATGGGGCTGTGTTGTAAAAGTATCATGGTGTTTGCATAAAATACATGACTATCTACTGATACTTCCCCCTTTTTTACAGATGTTTTGATAGTCTGATGTCATTTGTAATTTATAATTGAGTTACGTGGCTGTGGACATTGTCTTGCAGCAGAACAGAAGTGTTATAATCATGAACATAATTACCAAGAAGAAAAAGTACAAGTTCCAAGTGGATTTGGTGGTGGAGGAGCTGACAGCGGTGCCGTTTGTCAGCGCCGTGCTCTTCTGCAAGGTGCACCTGCTGGAGGGCGGCCGGTTCGAGGAGTTTTCATCCAGGTGAGGCCCACATGTTGATGTGTCAGGTGGTAGATGACGCTGAGCTGAGATGTTGAGTAAACATTAAACCTGCAGTCCAACTCCAGACCATTTTCGGAATTCTTACGACCCCCTGTCCTGTTCCTGAAGACTCAGATCTAGCCTGAGAATAGCAACCTGTCAGGTTCATAACAAACTTGCCACAGCACCACACTGGGGATGCAGAGCTGCTGGACTTTCAGTGACCACTCAATTCCTGACTCTGGCTTGACAAAATTGATTCTAACTCCAAGCATTTTTCATCAAGCTTGGACTATGGCAAGACTCCAATAATACTATAATACCTGGAGTGTACTCTAAAAGGCCTAACATTACTCTAATAATACTATAATACCTACTCTCTCAAACTGCTCCTTTCCCGTGCAAAGTTGCCTGATGGTCGAGTAGTAGCTCACAGCGGCCTTTGAGGGCCTAACACTCAGTGTGGACCGTTATTGGTCTGATCTCTATAAGCACCACAACCTAGAGAATATCCAGCCTTGATCAGACTCGTCCTCATAGAACTGCTGCGTTTTTATCGTAGCTGCTGCGCCCATAGCCACTCATTCACCCATTCCGCCAAAATTTTAAAAAGCATGTCCCGTAGTTCAGTTAGTATAGCGTTGGACTCCCTGTAATGAGAGCCCGGGCTCGAGTCGCTCCGGCGCTCGGTATTTGAGACTCCTGACAGGGATGGTCTGTGGTTGGTGGGAGCAGCCGCAGCCAGTTGAAGTCAGTTGAGTGAGACAGGCCGTGTCCGGCTTTGAAGGGCACATGACATCTAAATTTTCCCGTTACCCGGAATGGCGCGATCGGTCGGCAGTGGTCGGGGCCTGCTCAACAAGCTCTCCTTAGTGTGGGCTCCGGCTGTCTATCCGTCCATTCAATCATTCGAGCTAAATTTATATGAAAAACTGATGTGCGCCGTTTAACACGACCCGCCGAAAATGGGCTTGCTATACTTCCACTAACAAGCTAAGAGCATGAGCCAAGTAATGTCGATTCCGACCCCAGAGTTGAGTCGGTACAATTTCGGTGAATCGGCGACTCCTACTCGGACTCGGGCCAAAACTGTCGACACCGACCAACTCCAACTCCGAATCCGCACCCTTACACCAATAAACCATCCATCAGGATATGTTGCTATCACATTTATAGCAAAGAAGGCCATTCAAAGGAATATTTCATTTTTTCTTATCCTCCTTTTTTAGTTTATATAGTTAATTAGCTTATTACGCATTACGCAATTTACAGCACCATCGGACATTTATACATGAAACACCCCTGACACTTTAACAATGTTTCGCCCATGACCTGACCCGACCTGCCCTGACCCCACAGGGAGGAGGTGCGGGACCACACGGTGACCTGGAACGCGCGGATGTCTTTCAGCGCCAAAATGACGGCGCCGTGTACCACCGGTGTGCTGGACCCGTGCCTGTGCCGCATCTCTGTCAGGAAGGTGAGACCCACAGGTCCTGGCGGGTGTAGCAGGGAGAGGCGTGTTGTGCTGTCATTGCTTTACATGTGACAAGTGAATGCTTTGTGAAATTAGGGCATCGAGGGTGACACATGATTTTAATTGACGTTTACCTAATGCTTAGCAATCGAACCACCAAACCAGTTGTATGCCCCGCATTGAGCAGTACCTAGTTACTCCGTAGTGTTTTACTTTGTCAAAATCGTCAGCTGTCGCTGATGTCTTCATTGCCTGACGATCGGTAGGTACTGGCCTTGCACCCTCACGATGCATACACCACCGTAACTCCTGCTTTGACATCGTGTTTCTGAACTAACCACCTCTACCTGCCCTGACAGGAGACGAAGGGCGGCCGGTCGTACCAGAAGCTGGGGTTCGCCACCATCAACCTGGCAGAGTTCGCCGGGGGCGGCGGCCAGTGTCGCCGGTACCTGCTCGAGGAGCATGACCTGCGACACCGCCAGGACAACAGCATGCTCAAGGTGGTGCTGTCCACCACGCTGCTCAGCGGAGACCCCTGCTTCCGCGCGTGAGTAGCAGGATGTGCCGGAGAGGTAGTGGGAGGTGATGGATGCGAGTTCTTTGGTGATGCCCGTCTGATACCGTGCAATGCCTGTTAGACCAGTGTCCCTGTCTCTGAGTTGTGGCTCGGCCTAACCCTGTGTTAGGGTGTGTCATATCTAATATTTTTGTCTCAGATCAAGCGCTTCCGCGGATATTCCTTGTCCCTGGGTTCATTGAAGCCCATTGGCACAGTTCTTTTTTCGCTGCACCGAAAATTCAGGCGGCGCGGGCCCAATCAATTCAGCCACATGACTCGCCGTCGGCCTGTAGCGGCCAACACCGTTTGACGGTTAAAATTCGATTGCTATTTCTTGTTTAAATGGACGTCGGACGAAACATACTGTTATATTAATGTGTTGAGGCCATTCAGGGACCCACAGATGATCCATATAATAGGATCACGCTGCAGCCTTGGCAAGACTATCACGAGTGGGGCAGGGAGAACGAGAGCACGGATGGACAGAGGGCAACGTGAGCGGGGTCTCGGGTATCACCCCTCCGTCGGCAACACAATGTGCCGGCTTTCGAGCCATGTGCTGTCTCCCCGAGGCCCACGAGCTTGCGAAGAACGTGGGTCAGTCTGGTTTCAGCTGCGGCGTGAGCAGAAGTGCGTGTGGCGCAATCGAATCGGACTATCCGTGCCGCAGTGATGCCGTTGCGAAGCAAGGCGAAACATTTTGCTATCGGGTCTCCCAGTGTGCTGCCGGTAAATCAGCTGCCTACAAACAGAGATGTAGTGAACTATGTGAGACTCTTGGGCAGGGGATAGAAAAAGTGAGCGGACAGTCACTGCATGTTTACGTGAAGCAGCGGAAGCGGTGGTTGCAATGTGGTCGAGTGAGGGCATACCAACGATACAAATGCACAATGTGGTTCGGAAGGTAAAGCAAGTATACGAAATATTTCGCCGATCGAACAAGGTGCCCAAAAGAATGCGGGAGGGACAAACGAAACAAAGTCTTTCTGAAGCGAGTCTGTTTCGTAAGCTTTTTGACATCGCCCGCTGCCGCTGTAAAGATCGGCGAAGCTGTACCTGTCCACTTTCAAACCGGGTACCGCCAGCGGAAATAGCATTCCTTCGAGACCAGAGAGGAGTTCGGAATGAGACTGGGTGGTGTGGACTACGAGGAGACGAGGAAACGACGTAAGACTGCGAGCCTTAGAATGCGACGGGAGCGGAACGAGGGGAGGGGCGACGTGGGTCAAGCTGGTCCTTCCCACCTCCGTACCTATTCCAACGGCGTCAATATCGACGAGACAGGCCAGGTAGACTCATCGGCAACGACCGACACCAACGACAGCAATGAAGACGTCACAAGTGATTTTGAGATGAAGGAATGCATCAAAGACTCAAACGATGATGATATGACAAACACTGCACTGGCAGCTGACTGACGGTATGGTTTATCCAACCGTGTTTATCCAACCGTCATCAACGGTTTTCAGATGGATATCGGTCGTGTAGCGAGCGGCAAAACAGAATTGCTGGTCGACCCGAAAAAGTATGGAGAGAAAGATGCCGGATGAGACAAAGTACAGTGGCCGCGCGGGACCAACAACACAGCGACGCTGAGCTCAAGGCCATGTACTTTGGTGGAAGGCATGATCAAACTAGCACGGGCCGAAGCGGCTACAGGGCAACTGAGGAACATGTGGGTATAATGTAGCAGAACCAGGAAGCGAATATCTCTCCAACTTTACGCCAATTTCGGGTAAGGCCATTGATCAAGCCAATGAGCTGATAAACGTTGCCACTCTAGCTAATAGGCTGCGATGGCGCGGCTGTCAATACGGGCAGATCTGGTGGAATATGCCGGGGCCGTTGGGCAAGGCAGCCGGCGGCTCCGTGCACCGTCTTTCTCCCGTGAAGTTCCGACCGGTGAGCGACCCAGAGCTGGATCTGCCGGACACATCATCGCCGACCTCAGCAGCGACCAACTCCTGCCGTATCAGCTCACCAGAGCCGTGCGGACGGGCAACATCTCCGCAAAGGAGGCCTGCAAGAAAATCGGTCCCCTGAACCATGCAAGGTAGGCAAATGCTAATTGAGTTGAATTCAGTTTGCTATTGAATGGCAAAGATGCATCTTTTCTGTGTAACCGTTGTCTAAATAGAGGATAGTGCCTCGTTTGGATTGCTTACATCCGTATTGACAGCGTCTGTCGACGCTAACAGGCGAAGACGCGCGCGGCTGGTGTTAGTGTCATCAAACGCATTACGCCAAACATGGAGACTGCAACGCCGGGCGCCACGATAAATCCCGAACTTCTTTCAGCTGGCGCCGATCGAATTTTCGATGCATGGAAAAAAGAACTGCACCAATGGGCTTCCATAGACACAGGGACAAGGAAAATTAGCGGAAGCGCTTGATCTGTTTATAGTGACACACCCTACTGTGTAGCTAATCCCATATGCTTGGCCCAGCCTGTCCTGTCTGACTTTGCCTCTGACTCCGCCTCTCTGACTCTGTCTCTTCTTTCTGACTGCCTATCTGACTATGTGTCCTTAATCAGCTTGCCTAACTCTATGCCCTGACTGCCCGTCGGACTCCGTCCCCCGTCTGACTCTGCCCGTTTGACTTCGTCCCCCGTCTGACTCCATCTCTGACTCCGCTCCCTCCCTGTCCGTCCAGGCCGGTGCCCCGCTCTGCCGGCCACGCTGCCGAGTCCACGGACCCGCCCGGCGGTGGACCACCGATGGCAGCCGTCCAGACGGCCCTCCCCGGCACCGGCGGACTGCAGCTCAAGGATCTGACGCGCGTCAGGGGTGAATACCTAGTTTGAACTTCATAAATGATCCACTAATTTGTTTAACTGTATATAGCGTACATTCTCGACAGGTAGTTTTTTTTTGCAATATTCAACTCAGCTCGGGCGTATATTCGTGGCAAGATTAAACCTCCTCACGCTTATAAACTATATAGACTTATGATATTGTGTCTGGATATCATCCCATGCTTGGTATTATCACATAGACCAGTTGAGGTATCAAAACATCTTGACACGGAGCCTGTGACTCGAACCGGTAATCTAACCCCTTCTCCCCTGCCCAGGCGACTGTGTGGGCGGCGGCGCGGCGGCGGCCAGCTCCTCCGAGCCCTGTGAGCACGGCCTGCCGCCGCCGGCTGGCTCCGAGGACCCATCTGAGCCGCAGGGCCACTCGCGGAACTCGAGTAGCCAGTCGGCGGGCTACGGCAGTCTGCAGTCGCAGGGCCACTCGGAGCCCTCGCAGCCGACGCACAGCCGGCACAGCAGCAGCTCAGAGTCGGGGCACCTCAGGTGAGGGTTAAACGCAGTTTGTACATCTTAGGTGAGGGTTAATGTCCGTACACCTCAGAACGGCAGTCCAGACACCTCAGGTGAGCGTTAAATGCAGTCCGGACACCCTAGGGCCCTGTTTCACCGGTGATAGCAGCACGCTGCTATTACACGTGTCAAATTGGGTTTCCATGGAAACATCAACAAACCATGACGTCGTCAATCTGTGTGATGTCATCAAATATTGCTGTTAACATCTTCACGGCCGCGCGATCAAACATGAATCAAATGTATCAAACGCATTCAACGAGACAGCAACTCTGTTCCAAACGCAGCTCACGGATTACACGAAACGTCATTAGTGTGACCTCATCACATTACGTCGGCTCGCGCAATTTGATAGTAGCGTGCTGCTATCACCGGTGAAACAGGGCCCAGGTGGGGCTACGGACGCCTCAGGTGAGAGTTAATGGCAGTCCGGACACCTCAGGTGAGGGTAAATGGCAGTCCGGACACCTCAGGTGAGGGTTAACGGCAGTCCGGACCCCGGACACGTCCTCAGGTGAGCACTAAATCGACTCAGAGTGGTGACCGTGTCAAATTTTAGGGACCACACCTGAACCTCAAAACGTAACCCAGCCGTCTGGTATTTATAATCGGTATGTGCTTATCGTATGCATATTACTGCTGCCCGTTGCATTTGGAAACAATGCCAGTCTTCTGTCCCTCAAAGACGGATTTCAATTCAACAACCGCTCACACTTGCGCGCTTAACCTCCCCTATCTGTGAAGCACCTTCCCCTGACGCCTATCCACCCCACCTCGCAGAACGGCGAGCAGCGGCTCGGGTCTGTCCGACTACAACTCGATGGAGCGGGCGGCGGCCGGCGGCGGCGAGAAGCGCAAAAAGGACTCCGCGTCCGGCTCGCGGTTCGACGCGACGCGTGTCGACGCAGAGGACGTGATCAACGACCTGCTGCAACACGCCGACTTCGATAACCCGGACGAATCGGCAGAGAGTGAGTGGAGGGAGAGAGGGAGAAGGGTCATGGCGCTTGAATAGTGCTCGTGTATGTAAATTACTGCTGATTTCTTGCATGTATTCCAGTGTCACCACCCGTGTGTCGCCATCTGTATGTCGCACTCGCCGGGAGCCGCCCCTCTGACCGCCTGTCTGTCTGTCTCAGACTCAGCCCCTCTCTGACCGTCCGTGTGTGTCTGCCTGTGTCCGCCCGCCGCCCCCTCTGACCGATCTGCCCGTGTCTCCGCCCGCAGCCTCGGGTCTTCAGCTGTACGTCGGCCGGGACGGCAGCACCGCCTTCTCCTCCGGTTCAGCCGGCAACACGGCCAGTTACCAGGCGGTCGTCATTAGCAAAAAGTAGCCGCCGCCCCGCCGCCGGCGCCCGTATGCTCTAGTCCGCGCGCGACTTCCGACACGTGGCAGCACGTGGGACACGTGTCGCCGGCGCCATGACAGCCTGTGAGACGGTAGAGGTTAGCCGGGGAGGGGTGGGGAGGGGCGGGGCCGCCCGCCGCAGTATGCGCGCGACATACTCCAGCTGTGCTCGGGTAGGGGGAGTGACTGACTGGGATCTGTGCAGAAGGTAGTGTGTAGCAGAGACGCCAGCGCTCGCGCACAGCCGCGTCTGCGGCGATTGGCTGCCGGTTTTGTAGGTTTTGTCCGATCTGTTCAGGGTGGGGAGAGGTGACGTGCGTTGTGTTCAGGTGGGATGGAGCGTTATGTCCATGTTGTCCAGCTTGGACCGGAGATTGTGTCCACCTTGTTCAGGCTGGAGAGGAAGTTTACGTATACTCTGTTCAGGTTGCTGGGAGGACCGCCTGGTTTGGGCGGCGGTGGCCGCTCCATCGCTCTAGGTTGGGTTTTACGTCCGATGTGTTCCGGGTAAGTGCTGTGCCCTGTGTTCGGTCCGATATGGACCCAGTACCGGGCGTGTCTGCTGTCTGACTCTCCGGGCTAGCCTCTGAGGCAGTCCTCGGCGGTGTGACGTCACTCCCGGTGGTATGACGTCACCCCGGGGAGGTCTGAGAAGCTCGGAGGGGTCGGAGGAAGGGCCAGTCCCCGTCGGGCGGGCGGACGCCGTTTTCTAGTCGAGTCGGCCGCCGCGGTCCTGTGCCGATGTCGCCACTGACCTGACCTGACCCGGTCGGGCCAAGACGGCGGAGCACCAGAAGTCGACTCCGGCCGCCAGTCAGCCGCCCAGTCTATGCATTTTTATCGCTGACTTCGCTGGCCCTTTACACCAATGTGTTTGCCTGAGTTGATATTGTCCGCACTTTTCGACGTTATGGATGCTGACTGTATTGTGTGTATGTGCGTGATGTGCTGCATTCCTCTTTTAATAGCCGTTTTATCTCGCTTGATGAATCGTGATTCCAATTCCTGTGTAACTTTTTAGCTGCCTTGCTGGTCAAACTCTCGTGCCAAATGTACGTTTCTCGCTTTACGAAGTCATTCGTATCCATTGCTGATTACAATCACTCATTTTTACAATTCACTTGGCTGCTAAACAATCATCAAAATAAACCTTGATTGGGTAACACTGTTTTGCAATATCTACCATGGAGATGGGATACGAATAAATCAGATATGCATCATGCAAAAGGGAAGGTTATGAAATCAACATTTTTGTTCTAACTTACGCTCAACTCGTATTCAAACTTGTCTCCTTCGTCAACAAATATCGGACACGTTTGCACAATCTAAATATTTTATTAACTCTGTGTGTGATCCCTGTTCCTAGTTTTCTCCTATTCCATACAAGATCATGTCAATAAAGCAGCAGCATCTAGACTCTAAAGCCTTCTGTAGCCCAGGTCGGCGCTCTTTGTGAGTTATCTTGTACCCTCGAATGGTCGTAACTCGTAAATCACAACCCCTCAGCTGCCAGCTGTATGGATATTTGACCTCCCAGACGGATGGGTTGGCCAACCCGTCCTGACCGCGACTGAGCGGTACGTGGCATACATACGGCTGCCACCGATACGTCGACCCATTGAAAGAAACATGAGGTTCAGCCGGGGCCGCTGTCAATGTGCCATGCCGACTGACGGGCTCAGTTCGTATCCCGCGGCTCACTGGCCGGGAGGGCGGACAATTGGAATGTCCGGGTGGGGAGGCAGATATGAGTCAAACTCGCATCCAAACGTGACAGCCAGAGTACAATACACACAGTGAAATCAGACGGGATAAGGGTGTCTGGTGGTGAGCTTATGTGGTTTCCAACTGTACAACTAAGTTTAATAATTGTCTGCATGGACATCTAATAGTCTGGCTCATCACTGACTGTGGTCTGTGGGCGTGGTCAACATCTCTTGGCAGCTATTGAATGGCAAGTAAGAGATCAATGTACCGACTGAGCATGCATTTTGCATGTTCTTACCAACACAGTCCCCTATATATGCTCGAAATGTATAAGCTGTCCAGTATGGCTTGCAGCCTACTCTGTCATCTAGTGATCGTTTTCAGAACCTCTGCTTCTATACCTCATATGCAGGTGGTAAACCTGTGGCGCTGTGGGGTTAGGTCTTCACGAAGCGTCCCCGCCGCTTTGGCTTTACCACGCAGTAAATATTGCACAAGATGATAGTAGCGCGGGGGTCATGGCGGATTATAATCCAGTGTTTCTCAGATGAAAGAAGTAGAAAGTAAGGTCGAGCATAACCAAGACTAGCTTACAGGCCGTAACTTGGGCTAAGATAGTGACGTCGACGAAAGGAACCGATGGGGATTTCAATAAGCCATCTTCAAAGCTTCGTGCCGAGCGTCTGTAATAAAAGTCCACTTAGGCTCTAATCTTACAAATTAACAGTGCCCGAGTGTTTGTAGTAAGCATGTCACTTCAATAAAAAGCCCAGGCACTTAAATAGGATAGATAACTGCCTGTTGGATTGCCTGGCATTCCGGATCAGACCAAACGAAAAACTCTGTAATCTTGCTCTTTACAGCCATTTATGTTGTTAGGTGGTTCTCACCTATGTTTATGCCTGAAACCCTACATCGTTGGATTTTCTGGTACGTTGAATTATTGTATGTTGGAATGACCTTTTATGGGTAATGGGTAGTTATACCTATTGCCCATCATCTGTGAACCAGTGTTCTCCATTGGACGTCCCCACTCCCCACGAAGCCACTCAGCCCCAAGATTCCTTTACTACTCAGGTTGGTTCACTAGGGAAATAAAGGCGCCGTGGTGACGTCATCAGAGGAAATCCTTCACATTCAAATGAAGGGGTCATTTGAATTGCTGATTTTGGCTCGATATAGTCCTATTTTTTAGTTTCAGCCCCATTTATCTTAATGAGGCGAACTCATTGTTACATTGGTACACCTTTTGATGACACATAAGCCTTGTTTTTTTTTTCTCCAGCTCGCTCGAAAGATGATGAAATTTGCATGCATGCCTATGGGCGAAGGGAGATTCAACCCGCGCCGTGGTGACGTCACGGTAAAGGGATTCTGGAGCTTGTGAACGGGGGCGGACTCAGCCCAGCCCGCCATCATTGATTTTTATGATTTAGAGGAAAACGTAGCCCATTGAAGGGTCACAGTGTTATTATTCACATTTTAAATTAATCCAGAATTTTGATAAAATCACAGATAGGTAAAAAGAACGGCTAAAAGGGAATGTATTATGCCTTATTTAGTAGATTCAACACCAAGTCCATCCAATACGAGAATTAGAGGATTTTGGATTCATTTACGGCTTCAACCAAAAATGGCCGACCCAGTCCCGTCCAAGGCCCTATGAATTACATAAAAAGGGTCCGAACCAGTCCATGCGCCCATTCGAGATGGCTCGTAACGTGACACTGAGAACTGTGAGTGTCACTGACTAACTCTGCACTGACGTCCGTGACGGTGGGGGAGACAATTCACCGTGTCCCCCGCCGGGCTGTCTAATGACTCGCGGTGAATCTATCGGCTGGATTACGCGCTGGTCCGGGCCATCCGGCCGCTGCAGCCGGGATTACTTTACTGGCCGCGGTGACCGTGTCAGCTCTGACGGCCGCTGAGAGGGGGTTTATGGCCGGGATCGTCTGTGGACGGTCGCCACGCGGTGTCGGTCGCTGCGCCGGACGGTCTGCAGCGCCGACTGATCGTCCGTCCGCCGACCACAAACTCATCACCGGACGACTGGATCGCTATCACGGGGCGATCCAGTGGGCGGGACGGGACCTTCGGCAAACCGAGAGGCATGTCGGGCTACGCCGGAGTCCGCTACTGGCCTTGGTTCAGGTGATAATGAGTGCAGCCGGCGCATTTTATGGTAACTTACGAGGATATAATTCTGCAGCACGAGTCAATCCAACAGCTCCCGGCAGGTAATCCCATGTCCGCCAATTGTCAATGACGGAATGTAATTCTGAGCCGGTTCGGACAGCTGGATTTAGGCGTATCGGTTACCACGGTCAGCGCTGTCCGGCGGCTCAGGTGGCTGGCTGGTCAGCCACAGCCAGCGGGGCTCGTGGGCGGCAGTCGGCGTACGGCCGGGGATGAGGGATCCCTTCGCCTGGCGAGAATCTGCACCGGCCTAGCCGGGCTGTCACGTGGTCCTCCGCCGTGACGGGCTGTCACGTCACAATGTCGGGCTGTCACACGGCTCAGTGGCGCTCTGAAGTCTGAACCCCAGGAAGGCGAGTTTTTGAAGCATCGTCCGGCTTACGGCGATGCCGGACGCTATGACGGTTCATTGATCACCCTTCTCGTTCTTCCTTCCCCACAAGTGACAGTCGAATTCTGTGGCACTCGGCGTCCAGCTAATCTGCGTGTATTGTCTCGTCATCGTGATCGACCGAGCCGGCCGTCCGCTCCTCTTGCCGTCTACATACATCGAGAGGACGGCCTGTCACCAGGGCCGACGCTGTGACTGATGTACCGACAAGTGTCAGCCTGTAAACAAGACTGAGAGACGGACTGAGTGACAGACACACTCGTGGTCGACCGCATACGCCGTGCCGCTGACGAGACACAGAATCTAAGAATGCTGCATTGGACTGTGGGGCGGCGGAGATTTGTTTTGATGTTAAATTGTTATCAACCCACACCCTGTGGATGAGGAGAGCGGTGGGAGATAATCGTCTCCTGCCTTCTTCCCCGATATTCCTTGAGGGCTCAAGCAATGCCGATGTCGCACTAAGCATTCAATAACACCAACATTTATTTTATGTTCGTAACAGACATTTAAAGGGACCCTCCCACCTTAAAGGAAATAGTTCACTTTTTAACATGGGTTTTGAACTGGAATAGCAGTTCCGTAGCTTGGGCTGAGACGAGCATAAATCAGGAGCTTTTACAGCCCAACGATCACCCTAGGCAAAGATATTCTATTTCTCGTCCCGAAAAAGGTGTCTTGCGTTGAGGATGTGTGCCTTGCATACTCGAGGGCAGCGCTTTTCGAGGAGCGCTGTGGCCCGAAGGTTTGAACTTTGAATTGTGAAAAACGCCCGCCCGCCGCAAAACGCAAACACCGCAAAACGCACGCCCGAAACGCCAACGCAAAGGTCGCAAAAAATAAACAAACGCCCGCCGCAAACCGCAAATAAAAAACGCAAAAACGCCGCAAAACAATAAAACCGCCCGCATCGCACGCCCGCTAACCGCCAACCGAAAACGCCTGAAAATCGCCCGCCCGCCGCCAAAAAAAAGCACCGCAAAAAAACGAAAAAGCGGCCGCCAACCGCAAACAAATTTAACACCGCAAACGACGCAAAAAAAGAAAACCGCCCGCATCGCCCGCCCGCCCGCCCGCCGCCAAAGACAAACACCGCAAAAAACACAAAACGCCCGCCCGCCGCAAAACGTAAACACCGCAAAACGTGTAAAACGCACGCCCGAAAAGCCAACGCAAACGGCAAAAAAATCACCCGACCGCCGCAAACCACACAGAAAAAAAAACGCCGAAACGCCGAAAAAATAAAACCGCCCGCACCGCACCGACGCTAACTGCTAACCGAAAACGACTAAAAGTCGCCCGCCAGCCGCCAAACGCAAACACCGCAAATAAGCGCCCGGCCGCAGCAAGATAATAATTTATCAGCGGCTGGCATACCGCTAGGCTGGTCATTTTCACAAATCAAAAAGATATCTGCAAAAATCTCCTAGATGAAAGCGCCCGATTAAAAAACGGATGGCACGTGCGTGTTCCTCGCCCCCAACTTCCTTCAGGTCAATCGTCATTTGGGTCATCTAACGCATTGACGTATCTGCAAAAATCTCCTAGATGAAAGCGCCCGATTAAAAAACGGATGGCACGTGCGTGTTCCTCGCCCCCAACTTCCTTCAGGTCAATCGTCATTTGGGTCATCTAACGCATTGACGACCGGCTGGGTGGAATGAACATTGCGCCAAGAAACGTAAGTATATTGTCAAAAAGAATCCCCAGAATGGTGGATCCCAAAAGTTTGAAACTACCACTTTGGCCCACTGGACGACACCTTAAACAGTTGCCGACCGGATGACACCCATTGTTTGGTCACCCACGCCATAGTATGCATCATGGGTGCGCCGAAATGACCAAAAGTCCCAATTTCCGGTGTGC